TGCAGAACCTGTATTCCCGCGAAAGGTCTTGTGAGCTTGGAATCACGCACTGGTTTATTCGTGAATTCTTACGCAAAAAGGTCGTCGACAACTGTTGATAACGACTTATATATCATTGCCTTCATGGGCATATGCGCCACGCTCTGAAGAAATATAGCAATCTGGACAGGATGTACACCCCGTATGGGCAAGTGACAAACCTTGAGTTTATAATTGATAATGAGTTGAGGTATCAATTGTGCCTGTCATAGTTCAAATCGGTGTCAGGAAGTAGCCGAATAGCAGCATGTAATGTGGACTTACAAAGCCAAACATGTACACAAAAGAAGTCAGCGTCGAGATCACGAAGCTGTACCATCCTTTATGGGTCTCATAAATCAATGAGTAGATCGTATAAGCGGCGAGTAATGGAATAGTAAAGTATGACACAATGCGGAATGCAAGCTTGTCATATCTGATCAAATCCTTATGTCAATATTCATCATCCTGAATCAGTAGCGACTGCATTGACTCACTCTTGTGTTTTCTTCTCATCGTCACTGAGGACATGCTTATCTGATGGGCCATATTTCAGCTCACGAAACCACGTGCAAGAAACTGTACCTTTGATACTAAGCATATAGGGCAGTTGAGAGCCAGACGGAGTAGTGATAATGCTGATATCCACAGCCTTGGTGATCTGCGAATAGAATCAGCCCAACTCAATTTTGCGGCAATGTTCCTCATGCACCTTCCAGGCCTCGATAACGACACCCATCCCAGACCCCATAAGAATCATCCAGCTCGTGTTTTCGTTGTTGTCAATGAGGTATAAAAGCACCACGGTCTGGACAAACACGTTCGTCATTATCTAAAAAACGATCCAATATGCCGATCAATTTGAGACTGGGGCGTCTCCAGAAAAGGGAACATACCGTTCTGTTGAAGGAGAATGAGGAGTCATTATGACAGCCAACGACACCTGTACCACGTAATATCTCACCTGACAGAGACACCCACCAACTCCTTCCGCTGGCGCCAGTGCGAAACGTCTGATTTGAAGGCAAGCATCTCAAATCTTCATACGCCACAGGATTAGTAACATATCCGATAATCGCTACGATGCACTTACACAACGTGCAATATGCTAACCAGTCCAGTCAAACCCAGGAACCACGGATTAGTCTCGGTAAGCATTCGTTTGACCTCATCAAGTTCCGCTCCTGCGCCACCACCTTGTTGCTTGAGGGCTTCGTCAAAGCCATGACTCATCGACGCAAGTATCTGGAATTTGAAGTATGACATGGGTTGGAAAATTACTTCCAGCGGCAACGTCGGAGTAGTTGTGTTAATTTCGGTCAGATGCGAGCGAAGTAACCAGAAGTCATTGGGGAAGATTATAGGCTTGTAGAATCCTTTAGTGCCAGTGTCATCCCGCGCGCCCGGAACCAGATGTATATCTAAATCATAGTGAATTATGCGTCCTAAACCCTTTAAGACAGACATACGCTCAACCAGAACTGGGGGCACCTTGTTGACTGCTATGACCGTCTCGTCGGAAACGAGGGCCAACGTGAGGTTCTGTTTATGGGTTTATGTGGGGAAAATATTCATGCAAATCAAGATCTACCTTGTGCCAATACGATACTATGATATCGTCTTGCGGCTCCTGAAGGATCCTACTGGTCGAAAGCAGTAGCAAGAAAATGAATACAGCGACAAACCTCTTCCACCTCTTCATTGTCATCCGGATTGGAAAGCAAGTTTTTCTCTTTGCGTGCTTTGACTTTGGGCATGTACCGCGTCAAAACTGAAATGGACTCGAGTCAATCTCGCAGTAGAAGCTGTGTGATTCTAAACTCACGTTTCCGGACATGATGCACAGAATGAGGATCGAAAGAGGGATTTGAAGGGTCCGGACTTGCGCCATCTTTGACAAGGAAAACATCCGCCCATAAGGATCCATTCTTTTGCACAGCCTGTACAAGTTTCCATATGGACATCAGAGGAATGAGATTAAGAAGCTCACTAGGGGCAGATTAATATCATACGTGGCAACCCTTGTCTCCTTCCAGTCTCCGAAAGTGATGTTCTCCCAGACGAAATTGGGAAGACCGGCGTCCTGGTCTTCCCGCCACGCTGACGTCCATTGACGGGAAAACACATCGCCATTAGGCGAGGTCGAGAAATATACGTGCATGGATAGAGGTTGTCCAAGTTTCCACGCAGTATATGCCTGTACGGGGGGTAAAAGGAATGGGTTGACCTCACCTGGTTGGGCGGCATCATCATTACCAGGTGTCGCTACGGAAGGCACAGTTGCAGGTTTTGCCGGTGCTATGAGTTTCATAGCTAAACATTTTCCAATGAGTCTTTGAGTTGCTAAGCAAATAATTGGTGACGCACCAAGTTGAGAGAATGCCCATATCAAAAACACTTGCTATGGGTTGGGTTAGCTGTGGTATTATATAGATTTCAGGTAAATATGCGCTGACTTGAACCACTGAAAACAATTTCCGGACTGGACTTTCATCCTGCTCAGCGGGAGGGCCAGCTTGAGCATGCGCTGGCGTAGACATAATAGCTCAGTACTAGCTGTGACAAACCAAGGAACACGCGCACACTCAAGTCAGCTCCACCATCACGTGATCAGGCACATTTCTGGTGGATACCTTTACCATGATTAATTTTTCCACGCACGAAGTTCTTCTGGTTTATCATCGACGTCATCTCTCGACGGCCGCCAGGGATACTAATGAAAATATTGGAGACCATTTATAGGAGCAACAGCGGTGTAAGGTAAATTATAGGGTGAGTATGTACCTGTGGAATCGATCAGTACCAAGAAAGAAGCTGTATCTTCAAAACATTTGTAAGGCAAGAAAGACGATGAGTGACATGTGCCACACGTTCCATAGCTAATTTGAGCTCTCCACTATCGCTCCAGTGGATGTGTATATGGCGATCTTTGAGGTGGAGGTCCAAATATCTGCTTCGCATTAAAGGAACAGGTCATGTTTAAAAAGAGAATAATCAATGAGACAGACTTGGCAGATGTGTTGAAGTGGACCGCCACGCCCTTCGGCTAGATCAACGCAAACACCATCATAGAACCACTTGGCAGTACACCTAATGGTTGATCTGTGTTAACAGTTCAAGACCATTATCTCAGACCTGAGATCTTGAGACCTAAATGTATTACACGACGGTTTCCAATTCCTTCGCGTTTATAACAGGTTGGCAGATGAGAATGACCGAGGATATCTACGGCCATCTGCTTTTGATACCACCCGTTAGCAGCCTTTTTGATCTTCTCGATAGCCGCAACTTGATCAACGCTTATAACCTTGGGGGCGGAACCAGCCCTCTTCGCTGAACATCCTGCTCAAGCTCTAGCATACTGAGCCAACTCGACTAGTGCCTGATGGATATCTTCAGAGCTCTCGTCATGTCTGAATCTGGGATCGGGTATGTGTCATGGCGAGCAAGAATAGTTTGATGCACGCTTTCGCAGCGAGTGAGAAGTGCGCGATTTCTTTGAAGATGACGAAATATCCTCGGCGTCTGGTGGGCCTTTTTGTGCTGGCATGTCGTGAGAGGCATTTACAGTGGGTGAGAAGTTGTGAACGGTATGTAAAAGCGGACGCGACGCGTTTATACCCGACGTGACACAACGCGTTGTCACGTCACACACCTCTAACTCGTTTAAGTACCGACTGAGGCAAGCGTCAATATTTCAATCACGCTTTGAATCAAGGGTATGTACCATTCTGCACGCCCTTCTTCTTTCTACGGGGTGATTAAGCTTTTCCAGACGCATTGCCCGGGGCCCCTTCGGTTGATTTGGATTCATCACTCATCGATGCATCTTCGACTTCTACACAGATGCGCATTGCGGGCCGATTATTCGGATCTAAGCTAACCCTTCGGACTTATGTACAAATCATGCCACTCGATAATACTTCTGCCTAGCTCAGATAAGTAATTCTGCCAACGTTTTTCCCCTTTGCTCACATAAGTAACTAACACAGATACAGAAATTGCATGAGCACAGATCATGACATTGGTGTCCATATGCAGCATTCGTGCGTAGTGAAAATCACACAAGCCCTGATATGGGTGAGTTGCAACTTCTAACACGCCGGGACCGGGCACCGAGTACTGAACTTTGAAGTGGTGGGCTTAACCCAAAACGATGATCAGATCTCCTCCGCTCTGGCACCGAACATATCACCTGCTCGAGTGTCAGGCTATTCCGTCGAGGATGTTCAATTGCCCACATGTCTTAATTAATGATGGATCAGTGATCACGGGAGTGCTCTCGTACATCAGGCCTGGGCTGCACGGGGTCTGCTCGGACATGAGACCATACCTCTTCTGATGAGCACAAAAATATGCAGTGCTAACGCTGTTCTTCGTGAGGCTATGCAGCATCTTCACAGCATACGGAACACATGTCTTCATTCCTCCCCATGGAGCTTGAGGTGATGTTTCGAAGATGTTGTTTCATTTGAGGAACTGATGCTGATGAAAAATGTACTGCCTTGGAATTACTGCTCACTTGAGGTAAGTGAGGATGTTGCCGTAACCTAGACGCTAAAGTCTCACCTGATTATTTGTAGTTGGTTGATTTGAGCGCGGGGAACTTTTGTGAAGCCTTCTGATGCGTTGGAACATCTCGTGATCTCCAGCTGGTGAGTTGAGTTGAGTGTCGCGCCATTTTTTTCGAGACATTCAATTTGGTTTGCAGCTGATAGTGACCTATCATGCGTCGTACGACAGACGACCTACTCATCTTTGATAAATATGTGATGAACGATACCCCAATCTTTCTCATACGCCTATCAGACGTGGCTTTGGTTGAGCTCGATGACGTGAGAGAGCTCTTTAGGCTTACTTTCATCCAGTCTTCATGGTGTAGGCACTCGGGCGTCGTCTGAAACACCACCTTGTCTCACCGGTGATTCAAAACAGGGGACGTGACTCTTGAAGAATAAAAAAAGACTCAAGTCAGAGCTTTGGGATTCACAAAGCTCCAAAAGTTTGCGTTTTCTGCGAGAAGGCCAGTGGAATTTGCGTGGTCAGATACTTGCCGCTTTGACAAACAGATCAATGCTGAGCTCGACGAGCCGAGGCGTTCCATATTTCGGTGGTATCCCAACTCGGCCCATTTGCATCATCCATCTGGTCCGTCGAGGATGGTAAATGGACGACAGGGGCTGTACGTCACAAGACCCCCTTGCACCTGCCAAGATCAGCTTCAAGATCGACAAGCCTGGATACCCTTGACAGATGATGAAATGACAAGAACCCTCCACATATTGGAAATTCTGATCATCGAGAGTTACCGGCATTCCTCTTCACCGGCACCGTCATCTACGCAAGCTTTATCCAGGTCCGTGCGATGCGCATGACGTGGGCAATCAGATGCAAAACAACAAGGTTGAAGATGTAGCATATTTTCTGCTGGGTGTTGACTTGGAGGTCGTGCAGGGACTGCGCATTCCGCAGGCTGGGCTATCATGCAGGTGGGTAACCCTTCTGATCTCGCGATGCTGCAAAACATCACAGTTCGCATGTTATTCCTAGATCGTCACAGAGTTTTATGGGCCATCGAGATGTGCGGTTGGGTAAAGAGCTACTAGAGATAACTGATTAGCCTCTATTTGTGATTGTATCACTCCCTCTCATCGTCCGCCGGTTGCTTCCGTATGCTATGGCTGTCATACTCGAGTGTCCGCTGTGTCCGACCATCCAAATTGAGATCAATATATATTTTTCCTCATAGGTGTTTGAGCGGCCACGCTCTTGGAACTGTCAACTACTCGCTCAAGATAACTCGAGTGCTAAGGATTAAGGTCAAGTGACTCAAGTCGGCCGGCTTTACCCTATTCCGCAAATGCTCGTACTCGATAGATACCTGGGCACACAGATCAGCCGATTTAATCAAGCTTGAAACTGCCTCTCCCCTTGACATGAATTTCACCGCTTGGGATGGGCTTGGTCGAGGTTAATATCCCTATTCCGAATACAGCATGATGGGGTACCCGGCAGTGCATCATTAATACTGAATTATGTATATGCAGACGAGATGTATATCTATATTTATTCCGCCCTGTCAACGACTCATGCGTACTCTTGAATTTAGGTTTCCAAAACAAACCGCCTAGGGCAAAGGGAAGTATCACTAGAACGGGCACGCTGAAGCCTAGTGAAACCCTGTGCAGCCGATTGTCCTCCTTATAATGATCTGGATGGGGGGAATTAATATGACTCGGGGTCGAGATACTAGGATGATATTATTGTGAAAACGTGCCGGACCCGCGACCGTCGTGAAAGGCGTAATGAAGAAGGAACGATCGTTCCATATGGTCCGCTCAATGGAAGCTAAATAGAGCTAGTCTTCCTATGGGCTATGTCGGTCATCGATCAGTGCTTTGCCTTTATGCTGGCAAATTTCTCTTTATCAAAATACTCTGCCTTCGGCACACGATGATCGATTGATGCGCTGAAGACCGTTCGACGCCGCTTTCAAGACCGAAGAGCGCCTTTGCTGTCAAGAGGGGACAACAAATACAGGAAGGGTTACATAAATATTTCGCCATCCGCTCCGGCGATTAAATAAGTACTGGATGATAAGTCACGGATCCAGAGATAAGTAGAATTAAATTTACGCCAGTAGGAGAAGGAGGCGGGGTCTAAGAATGACACTGCAAGTAATGTAGAAACTTGCCGTAGAGCATGTTCGCGCATTAACCTGATGAGGGGATTGCTTCTGTACAAGACTTCGTCGTGTATAACCGCGGCTAGTCTCCCGAAGTCAGACCATATAGAAGACAGTCGTTCCTACGAGCGCGGGCCGCTGCATTCGCTCGAATCCGTTAAGCGCGGAGAAATGCATCGCTCCAGTGTGGGATAGATTACGCGCGGGTAAATTGATAGTGGCATGACTGGACGACGTCTCCGGCGCATAGAACCTACATACATACCACGGCGATAAGGTCGGTCGTGTGAAATAATAAAAACGTTGTAGTGGGAGTATAGCCTGTCAGTGTCATCACCGCCTGGGTCGCAGTAACGTTCATGATGGAGCTTCATGACGGCAATGATAGCACGTCTGGAGAGCAGCAAATTCTATAATTGGTGACTGGCGGTGTTTGTGGCTGTGTTGAGCGCTTAGTTGATAAGAACACAAAAACGAGTAAACTTGCCTTAATCCGAGTACTTACTATGGAGTTACCAGGCCGCCGCATCTGCAATAAAAATGGATGAGCACAACATCCAAAGGTGGCCGAACAACGAGGCAGACAACGACAAGAGAAATGACACAAACGAGGTTCTAGAATTGACAATAGCAACAATCAAAGACACAGATCTAGGTGATCGTGGCGTGAGAATATCTTCCAAAGTTGGATATACCCTAGACCCTGCCCTATACCCGAACCCTCTGCCCAGCTCACAATTTAATATTTCCACAACACTCCTCTTTTCTAAACAACCACCATCCTCAACTCCTCGTACGTCCTCGTCCTCGTCGTCTTCCTCAACGACAAACTTGCCTTGCTCATAGTCTTACTTTTTCTCTAGCTCTCTATACTCATCCTCAATCCATACAACAGTGAGTATTTGACGCGTCGTAAACGCGTCAAATCACGTTGCTAACTGCTCCTTAGATGCCTGAAACGCGTGAGGACTCTGTCTACCTCGCTAAGCTCGCTGAGCAGGCTGAGCGTTATGAAGGTACTTCAACCAACATGCCTGGCTTGTAAAAGTCACTCACGACATTTAGAAATGGTTGAGAACATGAAGCGAGTGGCATCGTCGGACCAGGAGTTGACCGTCGAAGAGCGCAACCTTCTGTCCGTAGCATACAAGAACGTTATCGGTGCACGTCGTGCATCGTGGCGCATTGTCTCTTCAATCGAACAAAAGGAGGAGTCCAAGGGTAACGAGGCTCAAGTAGCTATGATTAAGGGTTACAGGGAGAAGATCGAAGGCGAGCTCGCCAAAATCTGCGAGGACATCCTCGATGTCCTTGACAAGCACCTAATTCCTTCCGCTGCTTCTGGCGAGTCGAAGGTGTTCTACCACAAGATGTACGTTCTCTCTGTGTCACGCGTAACCATTCACTGATGTCATTCTCCCACAGGATGGGTGATTATCACCGATACCTCGCAGAGTTTGCCACTGGCGACAAGCGCAAGGACAGCGCAGACAAGTCCCTGGGTGCCTACAAGGATGCATCGGAAGTTGCTGTCACGGAGCTACCGCCCACACATCCCATTCGCCTTGGTCTCGCACTCAACTTTTCAGTCTTCTACTACGAGATCTTGAACAGCCCCGACCGTGCCTGCCACCTTGCCAAGCAGGCCTTTGATGACGCGATTGCTGAACTTGACACACTCTCGGAAGAGAGTTACAAGGACTCGACCCTCATCATGCAACTATTACGGGACAACCTTACCCTCTGGACTTCAGACATGCAGGATTCGGGTACGTCGTCTTCCCACCAATCTAATTTATGTTTCTTAGCTGGCTTACAGAGAAACCAGATACGAAAGACGAGGCTGAGGCTGCAGGCGACGACTAGAGGTTTGCCTTTTCCTTTTGATCTTTATATCTGGTTACCCGCTGCTATCTCGCCTCGACGCGACGTCCGATAGTTCGGGTCCTTGACACTTCATTTGCATTTCCTCACCTCCCGCATCGTCTCATTTTCGTATGTTTCCTTATTATCCGTAGTCATACTTGTGGCTTTGCCATGTTACCTAGCCTTTAGGGGCAAACAAAGATATTCTGAAACTCCTCATTATCGTGTGATAGATCATCTTACTGGGCTCCATGTTTCGGATGATGACGGAGCGCTATGACACTCCTACATAGTACTGTGACTTATCAGTCTAGTTCAATCTTAATTTCTTGCAAGCACAGCGGAAGTGCCCAGCTACTGTTTGAATAATCTGGACTTGTTGCCTCATGTCCTGAGCTTGTCCTTTGTCCGGTACCAACACTATGTCACGCAGGCATGAAGTTGGCAGGCTCACAAACCTATGGAGAGTGTTTCTGAAAGCATTAGCTCGATATGTTGCTTTCCCGTTACGACTCGTACATCGTCTGTTTCATGCCCTTCTGCAACTATATTCTCGCAGGTGTCGGTTCCGACCCGTTCAAAGAAACGGACGTGTAGAGCGGGTTACTGGCTCGTTCCAGCCCTCCCTCCTTCCGAGTAACACCGTGCAGCTACAGGTGCCACCGCCATCATCAGGATCCGCGACCAATTCATTCGTCTCACTATTGCCAGTCCACACTCAGGCTCTTCCGACATCAACTAATCTGGGCCAGCAGTTGCATCCTGCACCTTCAGTCCGCTCGGTGTTCAGGCCATTCACGCCTTCTCAGGTGATGCGATACAACAAAACCCCTCAAATGTGAGCTTCTCGCATTTCGAATGAATCCATGGACTGAATAGGACTGCAGCAAGCGGGAGGTCAAACTTGTGAATATCCCCGCTGGAAAGAGAGACTATTCTGAGTAAGTTCGGTCATTCCATTGGATCGAGCGGTGCTTAATGACGGAGCGTAGTCAAGAAGACAGTGGTACCTGGTATCCCCGTGTACACCCTGAAGGAGCGCTATACTTTCATGACACCGTTCGCGTATGTCATTTATGACGACTCGCCCTCTCTCACTTATTGCAGGCAACAGGGTATTTACACCGATTCGGACATGCGGGACGGAGAACGCCGATCTAGCATGACCTCGTGTATCGAGAGGTTACTCGCCCAGCTCACTCACCAGTGTGGATTGCTGTGCAGCGGTGATATAGAGCTCGTGGTGGAGTTGACAAGGAAACGTAACAATGATAAGGTATACAGGTACTATTTCGTCGATCATCCCAACCGTCTACTTTTCTGGCTCGATGAGATATCTACGAAATGGATTTTTGATGGAGTTCTGGGCGTTGAGAAGTGGAGCCATATCAGTACGTCCTCTTGCAGGGGTAAATATCATCGTGCTCTTTATGCTTAACATCTTCAGAGTATGCTATCCAGCATCAGTACTGGCAAGTCTGTCATTGTGTGTGTTCATTGTCTGGTCGTTAAATTCTTCTGACAAAGCGATAGAACAGGATTAGTACAAACAAGATTGATATGATTTCAGGCAACACTGCGAACTGTATCCCAGTGACAAGCTGCCAGATGCCCAGTTGCTCAAGGAACTCAAGGAAGTCGTTGTGCATGCTAGCGCTGGTGATATGTCCTTCTCAGTGTACCTTCATAATGTGTCGCTGAACGGAGTTTATAGAGATTATCACGACGGACTTGTCGCTGTCGCCCTTCGACGGCGATGAATTATCGCAAATTCTGGATTTGATTGATCGATTCGAAAGCGAGCGAAAGTTTCATTTATGGCGACTGAACCATCACTGATTCTCGACACTAGACAACTTCCAGGGCGCCCATTATACATGTGTCATAGGCGAGTATCATATTTCAACCATTTTTCCCTCCAGGAGATGATTGTTTTTCAGCCAGGTTTATGCGCTATTTCAGTAAGCTCTGTCGCGGCGGCGCATGATATGTGGCTTTTAACCTCCAGACCAGCTCGAGCACAATTTTTCAATTTTTGCGGACTCCGTGAAGCCCGTTTGGATGCGGACCAGTCTCTTTTTATCAAGGAGAAGAAGTCAAAGTTTATAGTGGCCCTTTCGTGGGCCATCAACGTTGCACTGTTCGATGCTCCGCGGTCACACATGGAAGAACTCCGACGAGTGTGGGTCGACCGCTGCATCAACTCTCCGCGCTGGAAGAACTTTAACACCAAGCTGAGCAGTGAATGGTCGGGCATCACGATGTATGTGCGTACTGCAATTCCCATCAGTTGACATTTATTTTCGCTGAATCATATCAGTCAACTGTAATGGTAGCAGTGGACGTCAGTTTCCTAGCTGTACCTTCCGTCAATTCCCAGGATACCAGTTCGGTTACGGTTATCACCTCGTACATTTCCTTGTTTTGCATCGTCGGATCGCTGGTCGTGTCCTTGTTTCTCACCAGACAGAATCAGTTGCATGGGCAGGAATTTGCCGACACAGCAGTGAGCAAAGAACGGTGCACTGGTGATCGAATATCGCTGAAACAAAACCATCGCAGGTTATATTCCTCACGCGGGTGACAGGATCTGTATTTGGCACTAAATCTCTGGCGATGGTGCACGGACTTCCATATGCTATGCTGCTGTGGGGGTGAGTATTTTTGTTCTTGTTGGACTTTCGTTACTAAGGGAAGTCCTGTTCTTCTGCAGCATGGTGTATTTCGTAATTGCGTTCTCTTACCAGGTCTTTACGTCCACGCCCATTATCACTCTTGCAACTACTGGGAGTGCATGCGGCGTTGTGGCGCTTTTTACGCTGTGGCTCGTAAGCGCGGCGAGGGATTTCCATATTTTACCATTGTTCCAGGCGTGGCTTAAGGGTTTCAAAGACAAATGTCGGAAACTCCATCGGACACGGCCTTGAAACTGACTCGGTTGAGTTAGATTCTGATCATCAATGATTCGGATATATAGCAACTTCTATATCAGATATCCCAACAGCGCACTACGGCTACTTATGCTGTCAGACCTTATAATCGCATCTACATTTGCACACTTCATTGGATCGAACAATGTTTCATGATGGGGACACAACCCACAGAAAGACAGTGGCAATCGGTGTGCTTGTATACATCCTGAAGGAGCGCTATACCTTCATGACCCCGTGCACGTATGTTATTTATTACAATGCGCCCTCGGTCGCTTATTGCAGGTAACAGGGTACTTACACCGACTCGTACATGCGGGATGAAACATGACAACCCTCCAACCAGTGTGGGTCGATCACTGTATTAGTCCTCCACGCTAGAAGAACTTTTCTGGCAAGCTCATGAGCGATTAGTCGAGCGTCGTGACCTATATGCATGCCATGGTTCTTGCTGTCCGACTCCTTTGTTTCTCAATCATGTCAGTCAACTGTAATTTCAGCCGTGAATATCAGTTTCCTATCTGTGCCTTCCGTCCGTCTTCAGTCTTCAGGTTATCGACATATGGACCAACTCGTAGAGGACAATATATCGCACATATGTGAGGTCTGCCGCGACGATGCGAGTACTAGTGCATGCGGTACTAGTACGTTCAGTATATTATGATATTACATCCCAAGACAAGTCTGTAGTTGAGACTACGTTCAGCATACCATCCCCTCGTGATGTCCATCTAGTTATACCGTAAATGAGTTGTTATACAGAAAACAATCCAAGAATCAACCAGATCTCGACAGCGAGTAAAATTCATTCCTGATCGTCACATCAGCTCCCTCCGTCGATGGGCGGTCCTGAGGATGAGTAGACCAACATTGCTCTATCAACTGCCAGTATTTTTCAGGGAGCTCAGGATAACGAGATCGAGAAGGCGTTTGCGACTTGGCTATGCAGAGTATGATGGCGGCATCATTCGTGAGGTGATAATAGGGCACTTTGTTAGTCAGGACCTACGAGTGGAGCTCGTGATATAAATGAGAGGCAAATATAACCCAGGCGTACCTGCAGCATGATCCCGCCGAATGAATACATGTCGCTCTGCTCGCTTGGCCGGACTTGAGATCCATCCTCCCGCTCTACAAGCAGCTCAGGGGCCATCCAGCGCATGTTTCCTTTGAACGTAGACGTCCAGGAAGCCTGAGAAGCGCTTATGACCTCGGAATACATCAAGGAAAGACCGAAGTCGGCAACACATGCAGTGTCATCATCAAGGATCAGCACGTTAGGCTAGAACTCACGTTTGAATCAAATTGAAAACAACGAGAAGGGTCGAACTTACCCCAGTGAAGTCACCATGGATGACACTGTTTGTATGAACTGTGAGGAATATCACTATTGAAGGTCCAGCACCGAGAATGGTCAGCACGTACGATATTGCAGACCAGCTATAATATCCTTGAGCTGAGATTGCCATTAGTTTGTAGTCTGCATAAAATACAACGGGGTGCTTACGATCCGGAATCTTCTAACAAGAGTAAGAGCCACGCCCTTGAGCTCCAAATAGTCCGTCAGGTTGCCATTCCCCGCCCAAGGGCTGACTATCGCTATAAATGGGCCGAAGTCATGCGTATAACCATAAACACGTAGAATATTCGGATGCTTGAGGTTGGCACATATTCTGAGTTCACGTATTATCCTCTACGAAGTGGCAACCCGTAAGGAAAGACGGAGTCATTCATCAAGAAATTCACCTTGTTCTTTTTTGTCTTTGCTGCGCCAAGTTGATCGGCGGCGTACACTTGCAATGCTTTCACTGCAACCTACCAAATCATTAATTCGGACAGATGGACAGACAAAAGATAGGAAACAAACTTTGATTGGTCTACGATTGGTGTAGAAGGTGCATTTCCAGATCTCCCCAAACCCGCCACGAGCAACAGGGTATTCTTCGTCCTTTGTGATATATCCCGTGAGGTTTTGAAGCATCGCTTCAGGGGGCAGATAGTGAAGCTTATCATGATGAGCAGAGGTGACTGTATGCGTATGGGAAGAGGAGGGAAGGAGCTCGTTGAGGTCAGAGGGTAACTGGGGCAGCCGTGAACCTACTGTAGAAGAGAGTGTCTGTGATATATGAGGCGATATCGTTATACTTGGGAGATCTGCTGTGGGTCCTGCGTCAGAATGCACTGCGTCCTGGCGCAGTAGCTGGAATCCTAGTTCGTAAGGTTTCCCCAACGTCTTATGAGTTAACGATCGCATGCCAGCACGCCGCTGCAAGATGCGAGCAAGCAGTCGCGTCTCGGTAGGCTGTATGCGAGGGGTTCTGACTTGTCTGTCACTCCAGTATTCCGACCTTGCATAACGACGGGGGTAAGGAAGGTTCTGTTGCACATTTGGCGGGGCCTCATAACTGGATTGGTTCGCGGTGATAGAGAGAGCGCGAGACTGCAAAATGGGATTAATGGTGTGGAGCAAATGAACAAAACAAAGGGAAGAGTACATCAGCGAGGGGTAATAGGATTTTAGGAGCACTAGTCTGTAAGACAATGTTAGCATACGGAAGATAGTCAGTATTCGATGTTGGCTGCGCACTCTGACTTGTGGTACAGGTTGAATGCTAGTGAGGATCTCAGGGGGAGTATTGCATAAATAAATGATGTCGGAGTTGTGCCGGGTGGTGTAAACTAGTTGGCGCGAGTCGGGTGAGAGGATAAGGCGGTAGATAGACAAAATCTTGAATGAGGCGAGGAGCTGGCGGGACTCGAAGTCCCAGAGTTTGATGGTGTTGTCAGAGGAAGCACTGGCAAGGAGAGCGCAGTCAAGTGAAAGTGCTAGATCGATTATTGGTCCGGTGTGTCCTTCAAAGGTGGGTCTGATAGTCTTCAGGGTAGGCGCGTCAAATTCATAGATCACGCTATTTCGGGTGTCTGGAAATCTGAGTGCGGTTACGATGGTGTTTCTGGTAGTCCAAAACACTGGCACATGAACACAATTCGAGCCCCCCATTTCCCCAGTGTAAACATCCAAATTCCATGATTGGATATCCCACACTTCAAGGTATTTCCCCCACAATGATTTGACTGCGAGCTTCTTCAAGTCTTGCGAGAATCGAACTGCCCCCACCCAGTCGGCACTTTTGATTGGACCAGCCACGAGTTTGCCTGTTTCCAAGCTCCATATTCGCACTGTACCATCCCATGACCCGCTCACCAGCAGGGTGCTGTCCCCAGAGATATCGACGCAGTTGACCTTCTGTGAGTGACTTCTAAATGTTCTCACGGTCCCGGTCGCAACCTCACGGACTTCGAGCTCCCCGATGTTGAAATCCCCACCCGCAGAGACAACCCATCGACCATCCCTTGATACCCCCACGGCATGTACTTTCTGCTCACAAACATTCCGCGCCTCCTCGATTTCCTTACCCGTTTCTAGGTCCCATTCGCGAGTGGTCTTGTCACTTGACCCACTGATTATCCGCTTCCCGTTCGGAAAGTAGGATAAAGATGGAATAAATCCTTTATAACTCTCGAAGGTCAACACGGGTGTTAGAGTCATTTTTTTTTCTGCCGTAGTGGGCGGTCGCGATGTGGAAGTCATGTCCCGTTTCTCTGCCAGCGAGGTGTAGCAGATGCGAACAATGTTTTATTTCAAGATATTTGAAGGACCGTCGGTGAGGCTTTCTCGTATCCTGTGGCTTGATTTTGATGGTAATTTCCAAGGATATCCAACGACTAGCAGCTAGCTCACTTTACCTGCCGATCATCAGTCCGTCAGCACAGAAGGTTTAGAATGTTTCGATGTTACCTAAAGGCTCGCAACTCGGGGAATAGGCGAGCTGATTCACTGATTGACTCGAATGTGCGGGCGCCTGGTCAGTGGTAACCCTTCCTAATCCAGCTCTTTGCACAGCTTTGACTTTAACGTTACCGCTGCAATCCTGCAACCTCCTCCCATCCAAATCCGCTTGCTTTTTACCTTCATACCGTATCCATTTCCGTTGCTGGAGTTACAAAAACAATTTCCACATACTCTTCGACAGAGTCTCACCACAACTAGCCCGGAGTCCCCTACAAAAATTACCTGTTCTTACCAATTGAGGGATATTGCAGTAATTTCAGTCGATGAGCATTTTCATGTATTATCACATATGACTGCCCCTAACTGTTGTGTTCCGTGAGTTTCTCTGGTGTCTTCAACTTCTCTGCTTACAACATCTTGTCACGCAACAATAATGTTCGAGAAGCTCATGATAAGTTTGCGAGTGTTTCTGATTGTCTAGATATCTTGCCTTTCCGCTACCACTCGGTCATAATCTGTTTCACGCCCTTCTGTGATCATGTCCACATACTAATGTCGCAGTTCCGACGCATTTACACAGGACACGCAGAGCGATTTGTTGGCCCAAACCAGCCCCGTCATACTTCTTCCGCTGAGCAACCATCAACTGCAGGTCCCGCCTTATCATGATCTTCGTCTTGCTCATGCATCTCATTATTGCTGGTTCACACCCCTCCGTCGTCCTCTGATTGTGTCGTATGGAGTCTTGATGGTTTATATTTCCAGAATATGTTGTCGAGCATCAATGCTGGCAAGTCATCATTGTGTGTATTCTTTTTCAGTTTTCATTATGAGATTCTTCTGACAAATTTATGGCACAGAATGGGCAATATCGACGCAATATGCATCTAATTCCAGGCAGCAATGCAAGATTATGATAAACAGCGGCACTCGCCTTTTGATGTTGAATTCTCGACTTGGTTGGTGGATTTGAAGGCAAGCAGAAGCTTCCTTCATTGATGGCAGAAATATCAGCCATTTTCGAAATTAGATGGTGCGGCGCCCACTTCGTTTTTTCATCTGTGAGTACTCCCATTCTGCCTCGTTTCCCTGCAGGGGTTGATCGTTTTCCAGCCAGGTTTATGTATTTCAGAGAGTTACTATTCCGCAATACATCGTTCCCGATCTTAAAACCAGCGAAATATAATACTTCAACTTTTAAAGATTCTCAAGTATTTAGTAGTACATTCAGACCGGTCTGTTTACGTCAAAGAACACAGGCATGAGCTGATATCGGCTCTTTTATGGACCTTCAACGTTGCAACGCCGCATTGCTTTGGGCCCCGCAGTAACACACGAGCGAACTCCGACGAGGATGGGTCGACCATGACATCGACCCTCGGTGCTGGAAGAAATTTTAATGGTTGACATCGCGATTAGCATGTGTGTGACATCATTCTCGCTGTTGGCCTCTTACGTTTGCTCAATCCTGCGTCAGGCAAATGTAATGCTACATAGCCATTTCTAGCGGTACCTTCCGTCAATAAGTATGGTAGGAATCACATCGAGTCCCGGTGATATATTGCATTGTCGGATCTGGTGGCGTCCTCGTTATACTTATTTGAACAGATAAGGTCGGCTTTGTGAGCAGGGATCTGCTGACACAACGGTGGCAACGAATGCATTAATGAACAGTGCATCGGATCATGACATCGGTGATCCAGAACTAAAATTTTGCAGGTAACGCCGCAGAACATGCGGTACGCAGCATGACCTAGACACAGACCGGGAATCTGCGCAGACTTATACCCAAACCGGCTATTTCATGTGAGGACAGTACATGGAGGGTCCTTCTTGGCTCATTGAAGCCTGGTTTCTCCGGCAGCATGGTGTATTTCATACTTTTATTCTTTTGCCAGGTCTTCACATCCACGGCTACTATTACACCTACTACAACCACTGAGAACGCTTGAGCGGATGCGGTGTTCTGGTGCTAGTTCATACTATGCGCAGCGAGGTATTTTCATGCTTCGATATAGTCAACATGTTATCGTGATTTGGGCTTACAGAGCAAAATGTCGGATACAGTCACAGTCGGCTCGGCTCGGTCAATTTCTGATAATGATGTGCATGTGCATCAGCAGGTCAGTTCTGCCCAGCTTATTATACCCAGTCTTACGACTCTTTCCATGAGGCCTGCGGTCGACTCATTGAATGACCATTTTATGAAGCTAATCGAAAACACGAATCTGTGATTAAGCCGAAATAGAGTTACTAGATGCCTCAAGTTGTTACCGTAAAGGTCACTGTGGTTGAAGCTAAGGATAAGGTTATGCGACCGTGGGAAGAAATATATCCGATAGACATAACCATTCCTTAAGTCATGCCTCGTGTCCTGAACTTGTCAGTTAACACCATGTTGCGCAATCATGATAGCGACTCCGTTCGGAGGCTCATACACCGCTTGAGACTGTTTATGAAGGTGTTATTCAGATATATTGCCTTCCCGCTGCGACTTGTACATCATCTGTGGCGCACCCTTCTGCGGTTATACTACGATTCACGTAGCATCGCATCCAGGCGCCGATTCCAGCTCATTCACACAGATGGACACCCAGAGCGAGTTGCTGGCTCAAGCCAGCCTACCATGATTCTTCCTCTGAGCAACCATCAGCCGCAAGTCTCACCATCACCAGGACCCGCTTCCTGTTCATCCCGCTCACTGTTGCCGGTCCAGGCCCCTCCGTCATCCTCTAGTTGTGTCCTGCAGTTATCTCCTGCAGTTCCAGTCATCCCCCAGAGCCAGAGTTCCACTACTTTTGAGCCATTCGTGCCCTCCGATGTGATGCGGTACGATAAAACTCCGTCAATGTGAGTTCTTGTGTGCCGACCGCAATCCAGTACTAATGTGATCACAGAAACCCCGACAACAACAAATACAAGTCTATTCCTCCTAAAACGATAGACTTTTTAGAGTGAGTGCTACCTTCTTCTTGGGCGAAGTAAGCACAAATGGGATGCAGCCCGCGTCAACAAGACTGTGGAGATTGGCGTGCCTGTATACACCCAGAAGGAGCACTCTATTTTCATAACCCCACGCGGGTACGTCATTTATTACCGAAATATAAGGAGACTCTTACTGCTAGCAACAGGGTATCTATACGGACTCGAACTTGCAGAACGCAGATCGCCGGTGCAAAATGGACTCATGTATGGATGAAGTACTTGCTCTTACGCCTCCTGAGTTGCAGCTATGTTGCGACAAGATCGAGCTTGTGGTGCAATTGGCATGGAACCAGAAGTCTAAAGTTAGAATTTGCAGATACTATTTTATTGATCACGACAAGCATCTGCTTTTCTGGCTCCATGAGCTACCTACAGAAAAACTGTTTTGTGGAGTTAAGGGTGTCGAAAAGCTGAGCCATATCAGTGCGCCCTCAACAGTGGATAATCGTCGTGTTTTGATAATTTGCATTTCCAGAGTATGCTGTTGAACATCAGTACTGGCAAGTCTTTCATTGTATGTGTTCTGTCTCCGTTTGTAAAATCCTCTCACGAAGTGACGAAATAGAAAATACAAGATTAATACAAGATTAATCAGGTGTTCCCTAGGCAACACTGCGAGATGTATCCCAATGCAAATCTACCATGCGCTCAGTTGCTCAAGGAACTCAAAGAAGTTGTTGTGCATGCTAGCGCTGGTGAGATTCCCTCTTTGACTGCATGCACGAGTCGCTGAAAGGACTTTGCAGAGACTATTACAACAGATGTGTCGCTCTCGCCCTTCGACGGTGATGAATTATCGAAAATTCTGGACTTGATCGACCAGCTTGGAGGCAAGTGAAAGGTTTCTTCAGTGGCATTGCTGATTCTCCAAACTAGAGAATATCGGCGACACCTATTCTATCTGTGTCATTGGTAAGCATCATCATTTCCACATTACTCCAGGTGGTGACTGTCTAGCAGCCAGGTTTATGCGATATTTCGGTAAGTTGCACGTTCTACAATACATCCTCTCTAAGCTTCATACCAGTCCGAGCCAAATTCTTCAACTTCTGCGGGCTCCCTGCTGCCCGTTTGGATGCGGATCAGACCGTTTACAAAAAGAAGAAGAGGAACAAGCTAATCTTGGTTCTTTCATGGACCTTCAACGTTGCAATGTTCGGGGCCCCGCAGTCACACATGGAAGAACTCCGACGAGTATGGGTCGACCGCAGTATCAACTCTCCGCGCTGGAAGAACTTTAACAGCAAGCTGAGCACTGAATGGTCAAGCATCACAATATACGTGCGTGCCACAATTCTCGCTGTTCGGGTCCGTTTTTACTTAATTATGTCAGTCAACTGTTATGATAGCTGTGGACGTCAGCTTTCTGGCTGTGCCTTCCGTCAGTTCTCAGAATTCAGGTTCGGTCCCAATTATTAGCACATATCTTTCCATTTTTTGCATTGTTGGATCGTTGGTTGTGTCCCTGTTTCTCACCCGACAGAATCGGTTATATGGGCAGGAATCTGCTGACACAGCGGTGAGCAAAGACTGGCGCATCGATTGTCGCATATCACTATAACAAAGGGTTGCAGGTCGATTTCCTCACGAAGATGACAGGGTCCGCATTTGGCACCAAAGCTGTAGCGACTGTGCATGGTCTTCCGTATGCTATGTTGTTGTGGGGGTGAGTATCCTACTGTTGTACATCCTTCTTGGCTCACGAAAGTCGTGTTCTTCTGTAGCATGCTGTATTTCATGCTCGCGTTCTCTTATCAAGTCTTCACCTCTACGCCCACCTTGACGCTCGCTACCACTGGAAGCGCATGCGGCCTTGTGGCGCTGTTCACGTTGTGGCTCATATACGCGGCGAGGGATTTCCATATTTCAACACGATTTCTTGAGTGGCTCCGGGCTTCCATTTGCAAGGCAAGAGACCCGAATACAGTGTGACACAGCTCAGTTATGTAATTTCCAATCTGTGATCTGGTGTACTATTTATATGATATGGAATATATAGATACCGGCGTACAGGCTGCGTATACGTGTCCAGGGTGATATTACGAGGTTGATTATTGAACCTGTCATGTGTTCAGACAGGCTTAGGTTTCGCAGGTCAGGACATTTAATACAGTGCCAGTCAGCTCTGGCCTACAATTAATAGCCGCTCCACGTCACCGATCTCCCATTCGATATCAAAGTTTGACGGCTATCGAAGTCTTATTGTTCATTTGAATGTGTACCATTTCAGTCGACGTGAGACTTGCAAACTTCAGTATCGTAAGGAAGGCACACTATGAATGCATAGCCGTATGTAGCCAAGGCTGCCAACTGATATTAACTTCGCGCAATCTCCAGGTCCCAATCAATCCATATAGTCGCACGTGTCTACCCGATGCCATTACCTCGACATCGTTGTATCCGTGTCGAAGAACAATGAGCTTAATAAATCAGACGTGCCATTCACTAGCGACTTTGAAGGTTGAGGGGGAAATCTCTTTATGTGCGAAACAAACGTGCGGGAATATGGAAGGCGCAGCTGACATGCAGAACTTCGCGTGTGTTCGGAGGTGTTAAGAAGACCCAAGCAGACGGCCACGCAGTAAGATGTGACCTTGCCAGCGAGAGTGAGGTACTTTCAAAAATACCACCGTCGGCGAGCCCACGATATTACGTTCCTCAAAAACGCCCGGAGAGCACCTTGACATTTACTAGCTTCGCTGTCGAGGAAGCTTGCCTCAGATAAATATGCTGCGAGCATGGGACACAACACGGGAAATATCGTGGGTAGCCCATTCGAGAGCCTTAATGCAGATGATCATTGGGCGCAGTTCGATTCTCGCAACTAGAAGAGACTTGCACTAGTATGGTTAGCTATTAATATCATACCTATCTTGATCAGAGATACGGTCATACTAGACAGTATTCCGAAGGATGCAAAATAATCCTGATATCGTTGAGAATGACAAAAGAATGTATTTGTCCCTATACACGAACCTTGTGGCGTGCCACTATTTGAAGCACAATAAGCTCGAGAACCAGGTAGAAAAAGTATCGGTAACTCCATCGTCTTTCTCAGAAAGGACGTACGGGCCGTGAAAATTCGAAAACTGCTTAGCGGGAGTGATGCTTGTTTATCTCTAAAAAAATGAGATTTTGAATTCAAGAATTCGCATGAACCGCCCACGTTTAGGATAACACCACATATTTCTTGATTGCCCAGAAATAATCACGACTGTTTAGAGTTTCTTTGTCTCTCTTTGAGTGCTAAAAATAATACAAAGGACACCGATTGGTCCACAGCTGCTGTCTCGGCTCAACTGCCACACAGGCCGCGGTGGAGGCGTGGAAGTGTTTTTTGATTTGATTTCTGTGCCGAAAGCCGACCAACAGTGAAAGGCACGGTGCTATGGCTGCCAGCCGGAGCATGCAAGTTCGAACGTGGTACAGGCAAGACTTGACATATAGACCTCGATATTGATCGTGACAGAATGGCACATGGATGGCGCGTGTGCTGGAGTAATATGCCTAGCCTGAAGCTTCATGGAGAAGCTATGTACATAACAGCGCGTAACGCATGCCTCGCATAAGTAATATTGCTGGAGGCAGATCCGATCTCCCCGAGATTGGTGTAGTAATATGTCGTTCTACTGCCTGATGTCTGGCTCGCTGGATTTTGAATACGGCCACATCGCAGGAGGTATATGAAACATCAATGCGTGGATTTAATCAAGTGTTCCTTTGGTAAAGCGCACCGCTCTCGATCTTTGGCCCCCTCAGCTCCATCTAGGTGGCCACTTGGCTGGATTTGGTAGTCTTCGGAAGACTTCCGTATCGGTGGCAAGTTCATCTGGATCAACATTTCCACAGTGAGTGATCTAAGCGTATCTTTGGCGCTTGTGTGTAAAATAGACATGCTCAATGCATAATATGTTAGTATATGATACATGTCGGGTGGACAGTTCACTATTAAGTGTAAAGTGCAAGGAATGTGGAATTAAAATAAGAGGAACAGCTAAAGGTATTTCCGCAAAGGAGGCTTTTCACTAAACTCCGCGAATATGTAGTCATATTCCCACGCAGAAGCAACAAGGCAACACGATAACTCAGTGCACAATTTCAATGCCCGCTCCCACACATTGGAATTCAGGACCTTCGGAAGTCTGCAGCTTTCACTCACAATAACTCTTCCTCCTGCTTGACGATAACAATTATTACTGCTCATTTGCTGCTTTATGCAGACTATTTCTTCTCCGAGTTCTTCGCGGGGATCGCCTTCGCGTCGCGGTCGCTCTCCGCGAACGCCTGCGCAAAGCAGCGCCCCACGCTCTTCAGACGCCTTGCCGACCGAATTTTCGAATAAACAGCCTGCTACATTCACTTCTTGTTTGTCAATTCCTGTAGAAGGTGCAGTCCCTATAGACCCACAGGAGGAAATTCTTTCTCCTTCCCAGTCCGGAGCACAGCGGAGCGTATCCAGTAGCACCAAACGCGCCCCACGTAAATCCAAGACACATGCTCTGGCCGCCTTGCAGAACCATGTGACATCACACGATAATGATGATATAACACAGCAGGAATCGACCGACAATTTTTCTGGAGATGGCACTCCCATCTCTGTCTCACCCACGTTAGACTTATCCACAGTCAAAACGTCGAGTCCTCGAACGCAGCCCATGCGCTCCAAACCCCGTCCGTTTGAATTAGAAGACTGCCCAGTTTTTTACCCGACGTCAGATGAGTTCAAAGACCCTATGACTTACATCCGCTCCATCTCAGAAAAGGCGAAAAATTATGGCATCTGCAAGATCATTCCTCCCGTTGGTTGGAAAATGCCCTGTGTTACTGATAGTGAGGTTTGTATATTTTTTCTCCGTGACATAGTGATGTTCTTTACGATGATGGCTCTAATAAATCATGTATCAGACATTTCGTTTCAAGACTCGGCTGCAACGCCTTAACTCTATTGAGGCTTCATCTCGTGCGAAGGTCAATTTTTTGGAGCAGCTATACCGTTTCCATAAACAACAAGGCAATCCTCGTGTATCTGTGCCCACCATCAACCACAAGCCCCTAGACCTGTGGTTACTCCGCAAAGAGGTCCAGAAACTCGGTGGCTACGAGGCAGTGCGTGATCCTCCATCATAGTGTAGCTAGTGCCTGAATAGTCTCATAGGTGACTAAAAACAAGAAATGGGGGGACCTCGGGGCTCTCCTCGGTTACCGTGGCATCCCTGGACTATCCACGCAGATCAAGAACTCTTATACACGAGTGATCTTGCCTTATGAACATTTCTGCGACTGTGTTCGGAATTCACCAACCCTGTCCACATCTCCGACTGCAGCGCGCGATCCGCAGCTGAAGACTCATATGAACATCCAGACTGCCACACATCCTTTGACATCTCCTCGCGAGCGTGGTTCCCCACCATCTAGCCCACTTACTTCTACATCTAGCCCATTATCAGAACCCCCTGATGAAGGTGATTATAAGGAACGTAGCGGGCCTCGACCCGAGAGCACTGCTGTGAAGCGCGGAGCAAGAGTAGAAATGACTCGTAAGCCAGTCAATGCACCCGGTTAGTCAATATCTAACCGCGAACACCGCCCAGCCACGAGGAAGTCTCTGGATGTTCACAGTCGGTTATCTCCGGTGTCAGCTTCACCTCAGCCTGACGACGAGTACAAGCGCACCTTAGAAGTACGTATCATCGCACCCCTCTTTTTGATGAACTCACTCTTTTTCAGCTTTCCTGCGAAATTTGCCAGAAGAAAAATCAGGACGAAAAAATGTTGCTGTGTGATGGGTGTGATTGTGGTATGTTTACTCTATAGCCTCGAAACGTGTGCGCATTTGACCTTGTTACCACAGGATTTCACATCTTTTGTCTCGACCCCCCCTTGGCCACCATTCCAAAAGGGCAGTGGTTTTGCCACATCTGTCTTTTTGGTACTGGTGGCGATTTCGGCTTTGATGAGGGCGAGGAACATAGTCTCTCGAGTTTCCAGGCGCGCGATCTTGAATTCCGCAGAAGGTGGTGGACCTCTCATCCTCCACCGTCTCCATCGGCCGCGGATCTTGATGACCCTACGGTGAATTACGTCGGAAGCACGCTGATATCTGAATATGATGTGGAGAATGAATTTTGGCGCCTTGTGCAATCGCCGAATGAGACCGTGGAGATTGAATATGGTGCTGATGTACATTCGACTACGCATGGCAGGTAGGAGCATTTTTGGATTTTTTTCACCGTTCAAATCAATGTCGACAATTTTTTTGCCCTCGTCCAGTGCCATGCCCACCCTGGAGACCCATCCACTGGAGCCCGCCTCGAAGGACCCATGGAATCTGAACAACATGCCTATTCTTCCAGATTCCCTTCTCAGATACATTAAGTCTGATATTTCCGGTATGACCGTCCCTTGGACATACGTTGGAATGGTCTTTTCAACATTTTGTTGGCACAATGAGGTGCGTCCATCTTGATACATTTCAGTCATAAACACTGATCGCTGATTCAATTACACTACGACAGGATCATTATACTTATAGCATCAACTTCAGTACGCAGTGTCCCATTGCAGCAGGTTACTTTTTCTGACCACTCTCCCTAGTGCATTGGGGTGAAACAAAGACCTGGTATGGTATCCCAGGAGAAGACGCAGAAAAGTTCGAGGCCGCCATCAAAAGTGAGGCACCTGACCTCTTTGAGGCGCAGTCCGATCTCCTATTCCAACTCGTAACTTTGATGAACCCGAAACGTCTCGCTGATGCCGGAGTCCGCGTGTATGCGTGCAACCAACGGGCAGGCGAGTTTGTCATCACGTTCCCGAAAGCATACCATGCAGGCTTCAACCACGGAGTGCGTTTGGCACGTTTTCGATCGATCGCATCTTGATACTGACTTTCATGGCAGTTCAATTTCAATGAGGCCGTCAATTTTGCGCTCCCAGACTGGTTGCCTTTTGGTCGTGATTGTGTTCAACGTTACCGTGAACACAAGAAACTGCCAGTCTTTTCCCATGATGAGCTTCTCGTAACGATTACGCAACAATCTCAATCTATTAAAACTGCGTTATGGTAAGCATTAAAATTAAAATATTAATAAATTATTTCGTGAAACTCACGGTATTTT